GTGTGAAGCGCGCCGGGCTGTCCTACGCGCGTAAGACAGCCCGATGCACGCTTATTCGCGGATCTTTGTTAATTAAAATCTCGGTAACTATTGCGAATCTAGCAAAATGGTATAGAACTTTTCACTTCAGTTTTATTCCTTCTACCTGTCTACAAGAGATGTTAAACCAATTCTGGGACACCCTGTATATTATTACATTACTTAAATATTCAGTTTTGTTAAAATAAAAGAAGGTATTTTTGTTTTTTTGAATACTGGTAAGGTTTTTGGCAGTTTCCCTTATCTTTGCAACAAATGTTGGTATTCGTGATTTCTGCCAAATAAAATATTAAATTAAATGTTATTTCTATGTTTATTTATTTCTATTGTCTTTAAATCCTATCTTTTTAATATTGTTTTATTTAAATGTTATTAAAAAACTAAACAAATAGTATTAAAACATACTTCACGTGTTAATCATGAAAAATTATTTGGGTCTTTACAGAACCTTAATAATGTCGGAGTTAGTACGGAAATAATGCTACATTTAAAGGCACATGCGCGAAAACACAGTTTTTATGGGAACCTAATTGGCTGTACAGTACGCATACGCGAAAACGCGACTTCGCAACAACACTGGGTCACAGTGTTTTTACAGTGTTATTATAGTGTTTTCACTGTGGCATCACTGTGCGATCAAAGTGGCGTTGTGTGGCTTTCAGAATATGCAGGAATTGTGAGGTTAGGTTAGGTATACTTTTAATTTGACTTGTGTTTTCTCGCTGAATTGGTCGCACTAGTTTTCAGAGTTTATTTTTTCCTTCCAATATGGAATAAAACAAATAAACTCTGAACTAGTGCGACCAATTCAGCGAAAAAAAAAACAAGTCATAAATTTACAGACTTTTTTTAAAATTATATTTTGCAATACAATAATTGATTTATTACTAATGAGATACATGCTTATTAACAGCACATAAAATATAACACATAAAATACATTATATTGTTTACAATATAATTGTAATATATTTAAGAATGTATTTAATAATTCTATATTATTTGCAAGAATAACAATATATATATAGTATAAAAAATAATATATAATGTAATTTTATTGTAATAGGCAACACAATGAACGTCTGGCATTACGCCAGATAAACAAGTTTTGTTTTTTGTTTTGCTGAAACTTGACGAGTGATAAGACAAACTTGATGTTTTTTTGTATTATTGCAGCAATATAAACTTTTCGGATTTTTTTACTTTTTCATATGTTGACAAAATAACAATTAATGTAGTTTACAAATGCTTAAACTTACATCAGTGCTTTGAAAGGTAGCAACTGACTCTGGCGATATTCTGTAAACTCTGGCAGAAGTTGCTTTTTTTTCACACGACATCTACGAACTTGACGGTCTTTCTCTTCAACGTTGTCGATTATCTGATTGCTGATCTGATGTCGGTTGTTCAAATTCGCGACTAATTGACGTTTTCGTCGCCTCTCTTTTGAACTTTTAAGAGCGCGAGTCATTGCTTCAGCAAACTCGATATTAGTTGGTCGACAGTAGTCACGATTTCTAGCCATTGCATCTGTGAAAAAACATTTTTAACGTAAATTAAATATGAATGCATCTTTAACATTAATCAGATATGAAAGAAATGTAGACAAAATAATATAATAAAGACGTGACCTTCACATGCTTCGGCGAAGCAAGTTCCTTTTAAAGCGTATAAATTGTTTGTACCCAGCCACGTGACATGAGATAAAATATCTATATCGCTAGTAAAGGCACATTTAAAATAATGTCTTGCAGAGTCCACGGGATTCATACCACCTAAATAGATGAAGTGATTGACCTGTAAATAATATTATTATATCATATGAAGAAGAGACTTTGATACAATCAATTTTTACTAAATATGAAAACTAAAAATAATATTTACCACATTGTCATAAGTCGCCTGATCGACATTTTAAAAATTTAGAAAATCATCTATTTTGAAAAATAGAAAATTTTTACAAAATACACATTTTTTTACCAATAATTATTTTTTATACACTTTAAACTTAAATTTATTGGTGATATTTTGTATGTATTTTACCTGAGTCAACTGCCACAATGAGAANAACTTCGCCAAAACATACCACCTGTAAAACACAGTTAATAATGATATTTTTCATTTATTTTATTATTGGTCACTTTTCCCACTTTCGGTACAATAACTTTGTTCACTAGAATAAACTGCTTTGTAGTAATCGAACGTAATTGGCTCTTATACTTATAAAACAAAACAAATTAGCGTAAAGTGGTGACAAGACAACTCACTAATTGTTATACGTTTATGTGTTAAACGCGGCCGTTCACAATACATGCCACGGCGGTTCCGACGCATTTTCATTGCAATGCGGTTACGGTGCATTTTCATCGCAGTGCGCGCACGACGCTGTGATATTCACTACGTGCGCTCTCTGTGCGGTTATGATGGCGTTTTCCATGCAGTGATTGCACAGAGATGCCACTGTGAACGCACGCCGTGACTGCACGGTGTGCCTTCGCGTGCGATTGCACGTTTTGCTATCGGGGTTACTCTTACTTCGTGCTCTGAACTAGTGTAGCAAGTTCAGGATTCCGTTCTGAGACTGCGCACGAGCTACATCTCCTGTGTATCCCAGTCCTGTTTTAACTTTCTGTGCCTTGTTCTGAGTTACTTAATCATACCGAAATCATTTGGATTTTCTGTAGTAAGTAAAGCTCAGGCTTCTGGAGTTCAAGTTCTCCATTAAATCTGTCGTTTTCACGACAAAAACGGCCTTACGTTCCGACGACCTGTGGATTCAGCCACGGGGACGCCATCTTGCCTTACTTTCAAAGTGAAATTGAAAACTTTTGTGCGACTAAAACCTCTAATCAGGTTTAATTGATTCTCAAAACTTTACTCGCGTGTTTGTGTAGTGCATTTTAGACACAGTGAAACACGTTTGTGTTATGACTACGAGAATGACCAACGAAACGGTTGACATAGTCATGTCAGAGACAGGCTTCCCGCCAGGGGAAGACATAACCCCCACTGGTCTAGTTTCCACCGAAGCATTAATTCACACCTAATGCGACGTAGAATCAAATTTAAGTCTATAGAAACGCGTCAAATTGCGCTGATTTCGCTTCCGCTTCGATTTATAAGTACTCTACTTCAAATGGAAACGGAACATTAAATTTGATCTGTACCGGAGTGAAACCGAATTGAGGGTACGGTGGAAACTAGACCACTCTTAACAGTCAAGTCCCTGTGCCCGCTGCAGCGACAGGTAATGACCGACAAACACGCAGTGTGTCTCTGGTTAATTCCCCTTCTTGCTTTTTTGTCTCCACGGATCCCGTGGGGGCAAAATCTTCGAGGAAGAGGGATGGCGTCGGTCCAACCCCCCCCCCCTCAAGCGTACTTTTTCAGCGATGTCTAGTGTACAAAGACAGCTTATACTCAATAGGTATCATAAAGATTCCAAGGGCCCTTTTATGATACACATCGAAACGTGCCGTCCACAACCCTTCTCTAGAGGAGGGGATGGCCCTGAAAAAGAAAGCAACACAGGTAAAAAAAGAACCTCGCTTAGCGCCATTGGCCTGAGCAAAAGGCTCAATCGTCTTCTTTTAAACCAGTTTATACATGCTTTTGACTTACGTATGATTGGCAGAAATAAGTTTTCGGTCTACTTTCTCACAGGTAATGATGCTAATCGGTTTGTTGAGGCCTTCCGGGAAGTAACTGATAGGATAACACCCTGCGAACAATGGACAGCACATGTCCCTTCGTTCAGGGTGGTCAAGCAGTTTGTTCTGAAGGGTGTCGACGAGGAGGAAACTGTCGAGGAATTGTTGGCCGGTCTTCGCCCTCCCTCCGGGTGGGGCCAAGAGTGGGTCCCACCTTTCGAGGCAATCAGAATTACTCGCAGGGAGAAGGAAAGCGCTACCTCTAGCCCTAGGTGTGTAAGCACAAACCAACTCATCTTAAGGTTCCGCACCCCAGTGATCTCCCCGTCGTGTTTGTACGTAAAGAAACGTCTTCCCCTAACACCGTACGTGTACAAGGTTAGACGTTGTGAGTTCTGTCAGAGGTTCGGACATACTGCTCATTCTTGTAAACAGTCCGGCGACGAAAAACGCAGGTTTTGCGAAAAGTGTGGCAAGTCGGGCCACCCTAAACTCAGTTGCCCGAATGTTCTCGACGAATGCATTAATTGCATCCGTTTCAAGGCCGGAAACACCAACCATCAGGCTTCAGAACTCCGTTGCCCTGTTTTTCAGAGGCAACGTGAGATACATAAAATTATGGCTTATAGAGATCTCCTTCCGTGATGCGGCTAGGCTGTATGACGAAGGAAATACCCTTTCTGGACTGAACTCCAACCTGTCCAACGTTTCAGTCCCACTCCCCACTTTTGGTGAGTTCTTCCCTAATAGAGACGTCTTTCGATTTTCAGGCGGCGAAAAGCAAAGCTCTTCCGTACCCCGAAGATCAACCGTAGTAAGTCTGAGGATGCCCTCCTCTCCTGTGTACGACTCTTCACCTACTTCTAACCTCTCCTATGCAAAGGTTACCTCTCTAAAGCCCCCTCTCCCATAAGTATGTTTCCCACCAGTGTGGAGAAACAATAACGGTGGGCTAACCACCTTCTCCTCCTCTTCAAATAATAAACCTTCTCTTAACCACTTGTTCATAAACTCTATCGCTCGAAAAATGTCTTCCGGCAAAAACTCTTCCAAAGATGAACCTTCTAAACCTTCTTTGGATAAAGAAATCTTCATCAACGCCTTTCAGAAACTAAAAGTTACCCCCAACATAAATCCTTCGCAGCTTAGCAACACAGACATGAAAAATATTCTCGTAGAATTACAAAAGTACTTCTATGGTACTCAGGAATCTTAGATTTAAATTTTTGTACATTAGTTTATAAAGTTATGAAATCCTTCACTGTAGTCCAGTGGAACTGCAGATCTTTGGTCCGCAATCTCGATGCGGCCCGACTGCTACTCCAGGACTGCAAAGCTGAGGTAGCATCCTTCTGTGAAACATTCCTCGATGGTAACTCCATAATCACCCTACCAAATCATGAAATCGTGTCGTGTGATCGCAATTGTAGGGGCGTAGGTGTCGCCATTGCTATTGCAAAACACATTAAATTCTGTGTCCCAAAAATCCCACAGCTAATAGATTTATGCAAAGAAACCGGCGTTGAACTTGCAGTTGTTGAATTGTTCCTTCCGAACTCTCAAACCCTTTTTGTTTTCTCGCTGTATAGTCCTCCTAGATCTTCTACAAACTACACGGCACCTTGCTTCTGGCAAAATTTTCTTCCTCCTAAGTTCTAAACTCCAACCAGCAGTCATCTGTGGCAACTTCAATGGGAAAAGCCCCTTGTGGTGTAATTCTCACCCTCTCTCTAATAGAGAAGGGAAAAACTTAGAGCACGCGCTAGTCAACTCCTCCTGGGTAGTCCTTAACAATGGCAGTAACACATGGTCTTCCGCAGACCTCTCTAGGTCCTCCGCGATAGACCTCACCATAGTTTCCGACGTTCTTGCACCTCAGTGTACCTGGAAGGTGTGCGACTTCCACTATGGTAGTGATCACTTTCCAGTAGTCACCGCTATCTCCGACAGGTTCTCTGGTCGCATTCCTTGCCGGCCCTACTATTCTGTAAAACAAGTGTGTTGGAAGGACTTTCAAACCAAGTGCCAAGAAGGGGTGGTCACTCTCCCTCCACTGGGCTTTTCAGATGATGTAAGTTTCGCCTACTCCAAGCTTGTGAGTCTTGTTGATGACTCCCTCCTACAGACAGGTGCTACCCGCACAACCTCCTCGAGAGCCTCCAGAAGGCAACCCACTTTTTGGTGGGATGTTTCTTGCTCGGACATTTATGCCCGCAAGAAAGCCGCATTTGCACAGTTTCGTTCACACCCTAACATAGACAACTTAAACAACTACAGTCGAGTTGCAAATGAGGTGTCTAAAGCCCTGAGAAAAAAGAAACGCCTAGCCTTTCGCAAATACTGCGGCTCTCTACACGCCAACTCGGACGTTGGGTCCGTGTGGAGTACTGTCAAAGCCTTCTCTTGTGCGCGTAACAAGCCAAGAGATGAAGGCAATAGAAACTGCCTCGATTTGGGAGGTTTTCGGAAAGCTTTTGACAAAATTTTTAAACTAAAGGCCGATACGAGCATTAAAATACAGGTTGGTCGTGTATAATAAGTTGTCTTTATTCAATAAATATAGACGTTTCAGACAAATACGCTAAACTCGCCTTGACCTAACTGAACCTCACTCTGAAAACAATCTGGATGTCTCCTCGCTGTTTCCTACTCTTAGGTCGGACGTGTTGGACAGGGCCAGGAAATACCTACTCGAAAAAGCAACTGTCAAGGGAGCCGTGTACTTTCAGAGAAAGCCTGTACCCTTGAGTAAGCCTTGGTTTAACAAGATAAAGAAAAAGAAAGTGCTACCCCGTCCTTTGGTCACACTTGTGTCTAGAGTGCGCTCACACCATACGGCAGTCAATTTGCACTTAAAGGAAAAAGGCATTGTAGCCTCCTCGGAATGCCCATGTGGTCATCCAACACAAGACATAAACCACGTCTTTTTTCAGTGTCCTAAGTACAAAGCTCAATCTGACAAGCTAGTAATTGACCTATATCATAACGGCTTCAGCCCTCCCTACCGTGTAGAGGAGGTTGCCTTTTCCAAATGCTTTCGCGCAATGTATGCCCTCCTTTTATTTGTCAACTCTACCAACATCGGGCGTGTTCCGTTTGACCACAGTACGATTCGACACCGCTCTATTCGACACA